GAGAGAGAGAGAGAGAGAGAGAGAGAGAGAGAGAGAGAGAGAGAGAGAGAGAGAGAGAGAATGAATGAATGAATGAATGAGGATAGCATACTGCCACCTGGTGATGACTGTGGGATGGCATGCTGTCATGTTTTGTTGGCCTGTCTCTCTGTATCTGATTGATATTGCAGCTACCAACTTCCACCACTCCATGTGAAAAAGACTGCAGTCGTGATTAGTCCTTTGATCAGTCTTATGGAGGACCAGGTGAGACAAGGTTTGCTCGTCATAACTGATGCATTTAAAGGTGCGGGTAGGTAGGTAGGTGAGGTTTATGTGTTATGAGCCTCCCACAACCGTCTTTCCCCCGAATAGAACGTACGGTTACTATAGCAGCAGTTTTGGAACAACTCTCAGTCTAGACACAGCGATAATGACCGTTTGTTCTATTCGGGGGAAGACGGTAGGTAGCTTGAATTGGCATTGATTTCCTGTGGGGCGGGGGGTGTGAAGGTGGGAACCAGGGGAAGAGAAAATCCAAAAGTCTTGTTTTGCTGAGAATGCTCAATCCTGTTTCTCCTCCTTTTTTCTTCTTCTTCTTCTTCGTCTTCCCCCCCCCCCCCTTTTTTCCTCTTTCCTCTTTTTCTCTTTTTAATTTCCTAGGCCGTGAGATATCATCATTGAACTCCCCTGTCCCAGGTGATTCATAATTATCTTACTCTGTTCACTGGGTTGCATCGGGATTTGAACTGGGATCCATATTTCTGCAGTTTCAGGGGTGTACCAACTGAGATATAGGCCCGTTGGTGCCTTCTTCTTCCCTTTTTTTTTTTTTTTTTTTTGGCAAGACAATCCCTCTCGGCCCGTGCTGTTCCCTGTCCGCTGGTGGCAAGTCATAATGAAAACACCCATCGCACGCCTGCCCACGTTATGCCCCGGGGAGCCCTGACAGCACTGATGGCTTCCCAACAGGAAGGATTGGCTGTCATTGTTGCGCAAAACTTTTGCAGTCCCCTCCCCCCGTTAACACTGTCCCGTGGAAGAAACAGCCACAAAAACAGACTACCCTTGGATTTTCCCTTTTGGGCTACCCTTAGGCAACCACCTGCTTAAGCCCTAAACCCTAGGAAAGTCCCGGATCTCAGCGATCTGTTTGAATTGCGCTTGGGGCCTGTGCTGCGCCCTGTGCACCCCCCTTCTTCCTCTTTGCTGTTTGTGACCTGCTGGGCTGAGTCATCGCTTTTTTACCACTGGATCTGATGTTGTCTTGGCAGTCCTTGCAGCCTTGTTAGTCCCTTCGTCGCTGCTGTTGCCGTTGTTGTCGCACCTCTTTCTTGCCGTTCTTCTTTCCTCTCTTCAGGCCCGGGGAGCTATCTTGCTGAGTCTGAAAGGAGGCTTAAATTCAACTGGGACATAATGCTTCCAAGGAATACACAGACACTACAACCTCACTCCACAGCATGCCCGACTCCGCCATCTTCCTTCTTCTTCTTCTTCTTCTTCTTCTTCTTCTTCTTCTTCAATGCTCTGGCGAAGAATGCCAGAGCCACCGGTTCGTTCGGTGCAGCATTACAGACGCTGACCGAACAACTGATTACATGTGCGCGGAGCAGTGAATTTAGGAGTGATAGGCAGGCTACTAGACAGGGAGATAGGTACTAGACACATGGCCCAGTATAATTGGGCTACTAGTCGGTAGAAATTTGGAAACGCTGGAAACATCCGTTTTTAAGTGATTAACCGCAGAATAGTCACCTAGAGACCCGGAGCACCGGGGTGTACCATAGCAGGACAAGGGTGTAGGAAGTGAGGAGGTCAAATACAGGATGGTAAGTAGCTGTACAGACCCGGAGAACCGGGGTGTACCATAGCATGACAAGGGTGTAAGAAATGAGGGGGTTGGGAAGAGAGAAAAAGGGTGTAGGCCTGCTACAAATACTGTGCCCTTTTTTTATTTTTAATTAAGCTATATTCTTCTCTCGAGTATCCCTTACACTACTTACCCACATCTACCTAGCCACGACTATATCTACCAAGCAGGGGGTAGCCAGAGCTACATCTACCAAGCAGGGGGTAGCCAGAGCTACATCTACCAAGCAGGGGGTAGCCAGAGCTACATCTACCAAGCAGGGGCAACCGAGGTCTACCGGCCATATGACTCGTTTTCCTTCTTCTTCTTCTTCTTCTTCTTCTTCTTTTGTTTTTTCTTTTGTTCTTTCCCTTATTAGTTTGCAGGCTTAATTATCAGTAGCTTAGGGGAGTCTAGCCTCGTAGCTGGAGCCCAAAGAAGTGTGTAGGTTTTTCTCTTCTTTGCATTACCGCTTCTGTTTAGATTGTTTTGTTTTCATCAATCGTCTCTCTTGGTTCAGTATCCCTCTACTTACCTGCTCTCTTCTCTTCCTGCTCTGCTCCTTTATTTCCTTTCCCTCTTTTGCTCTCATTGGTCAGGCGGTCGGCTGGTTGGTCGGCGCTAGTTGGTCTGTCGGTTGGTCGGTTAGTCAGTTGGTCAAAGCCCTTTTCCCAAGTTAAATTCAGTCACTGATCTGGTCTTTTTGCACTTTGCATCATCTGTTTATCGGTCCATCTGTCGGTCGTTCCGCCTGTTCGTCCATTGCCGTGCCTGCTTGCATCTCTCTCTCTCTCTCTCTCTCTCTCTCTCTCTCTCTCTCTCTCTCTCTCTCTCTCTCT